GAACTCCACTGTCCTCCAGTGCACAACATGCAGCCCTCGGAGAAACAAGCACACCCTTCTCAGCAGAGTCCACCAGCACACGTCAGAAAGGGAGCCGACAGTGTGAGTCCCGACCTCTGCAGATGCTGCAAAAATCTCCCGGGATTGACCAGAAAAGGGAAAAATAAAGTTTTTCGTTCCTATGAATGTGAGGTTAAAAAAAAAAAAAAAAAAAAAAAACAACGCACTGCTTTGAAAAATAAAAATGAGACAATAAATCCCAATTTTATTATTATCACAATTATTAAGGCTAAGCTTCTAGACATTAAGTATATCTGAAAGTTGCTGACTAAAATGTGAACTCTTATCTCTCCTTTACAACCCAGATCCATGCCTATGTAATTATGCATTACATCAGTGCATCCCATTTGCTTGACAAGACTGACTTTCTTGGAATCTAAAGGTAAAGCAGTCTCTAGTAGTCATATGGATTTTTCAGATGTGTGTGGAATATATCTGTCCCCATTTCCCCCCTCTTGTCACCCATTCTTCTCTCTTGGCCCCTATCCGCCTCCTACTGGTCCCCTAGTATAAAAACGGAACTAGCGAACAGTCATTGGTGCCACTCTTGACATATACCAGAAGGTAAATGAGCACACAGCAAGGACACCCGCCCACCAGGTTCACGTCGCAGTATCTTCAGAGCCAAGAAACAGTACCAGCTCAGGTTCCCATTAACATGGAAAATGTTTAAAATGTGGTGTACATTAAAAATGGAGCAATATTCAGCCATGAAGAAGAGCGAAATTACATCAAACTAGAAGTCAATATATTAAGTAAAGTACACCAGACTCGGGAAAGCAGATATCTGTATTTTCTCTCTTGCACGGAGATAAGTATTCGAAGAGTTAAAAGAGTCTTCAGCCAGAAAATAAACACTGTAGATTGGCTGCCTGGATTCCAATGCACACCTTTCCAGGCTTACCCATTCCTGAGCCTCACCTCTGCTAGCTTGAAACCCCACCACCACACTACAATGCCTACTGATGATTCAAGATGAACATGAAGCCCAGACCATCGTCAAGACTACAGCAGAGAACAAAGAGCCTGGCTTTGCAGACCTGCTGCTTGAGGGCCCTTCACCCACAGATGCAGGAAGCTGTGACAAGGCTGCAAATTGGATTTGCAATGCCTACATCCCAACTCTGCGCAAATCAGCATTGGAGAGGCTCACCCAGCTTGCCAGTCTTACCAGGCTGCGTCTCCAGGGTCTGTTTCTCTTCTCTCATAATAGTGGACCACCACGCTTTACTGCATTTAAAAACTAAAGTGAGTCTGTGGTTAAGCCTAGGACTATCCTGACATCATTAAGACTAGAGCAAACCAGCTTCCTAAAGATAAGCAAACAGAAAGGAGCCCCGAAGTCTATAACAAAAGATACAACGGCACCCATATTTCCTTCTGAAATGGATTCCTAGTAGAATAGGAAAACAATTTTATGTCCTTTCTTTGTGCAAAAAAGAAAATACAAAAGATTACCTCTACGGAGTTGTGAACACAAGGTGGCCAGCATAGCATGAAAATGCTATGTGGACGCTAAAAACAGAAGCTAAAATTGTGCTGGCAAGAAGGAAAAAGAGAGAAAGTAGACACAACAAAAATATCATTAAGTCGAAAACGTGCTTCCATAGTTCAGCTCCCGTCTCCCCAAAAGACAAAACAATCCAGCTCCTGGATTCTGTTCTATACCGAAAAGAGAAAAGAATAATACTGGCAGACACAAATGAAGAAAGTTTTAGAAAGACCACAACTGAAGGTTTCCCTCGTGGATCCAAACAAAATGATGGGGAATTTCAAACATATTTATATCCACAGATAACCTGGAGTTATACAAACATTTCTCTACCATCTTTAGAAAGGCATTTCTCCATAGTGACACCAAAATAGAAACATACAGGCATTTTAACCATCAGAACACCACAAGGACTCAGTCAAATCAACCCAGTCAAAGGAATCCAAAGTTCTTGTAAGACGCACTTGGACGAGGTACTTTATTCTGAGCTATGAGCAGAGGTCAGGGAATAGTTTCCACCAGCATTTCGCCTTCTGGAATTATTAAATTATCCAGATGATCTAATTTTCCCTAAGGCAAATCTCATATATTGGTTTATTTTTAAAAAGACTGCTACAGTGACTAAAATTTAAATTTTCATTTGAAAAATACTAACGCCTGAAAGGCATTAGTAAAAATAAAACAATCATTAGTAAAATCAAAAGTATATAGTATTATTGTATAATTTAAGATAACATCCCAATCTGTTATGAGTTCTTCACATTTTATGGTGGGGGTGGGCTACCTTAATTATAAAGTTTACCAGGGTTATTATTTCCCCGAGAACCACTTTAAACAACTGAGATTGTAAAAACTACGTGAAAAGCATAAATAATTAAGAGATAGGATGCCTCACAGTCAAGAGGCCAACACTAAAGCACTGAAGTAAATGCTGAAAGGGCTTGGGATTAAATCCACCACAGATACAGATGGACCCCAGCAGAACACACAGCAAACTGTCAATGGGACTTAGAACTCACAATGAGATTAAACACCAGGCTTCCAATTTGCTTGGCTTACTCTAGTTCTAATTTGTACAGTGTATGTACAAAATACAACAAGACACATGAATTAAAAAATGATTATAAGGGTTTATATACCAAAATACAGTGAACTAGGAAAAGCCAGACATGAAGACATTCACCCCCTGAATCCATAGTGTACTGGTTCCAGGATCCATTGTAGATTCCCAAATCCACAGATGCTCAACACTTCACATAAAGTAGCATCGCTCTTGAGCATTTGCATGTACCCCCATACATCCTCCCGGGTGATTTTAATCTTCTCTAGATTATTTTTAATTACTAATTTAACACAAACACTATGGAGATAAAGGCTATGCTTTATTTTGCAGGGAACAATGGCAAGCAAAGGCTCTGCATATGTTCAAAACAGATACAATTTTTCCTCCAAACATTTATGATAACTGTATTTACAAACATCCGATCAGAGACCAGGGATGAGACGCTCCCCCGGGATACAGGAACGAACTGTAGCACGGGTTCTATGTCTATATCCATGCATTTTGCACATTTGCTGGGACTTAGTTTAACCATAGTTTCCATTGCAACATATGCTACTGGCTTCTTAGTGAGGTCAAGTAGCCAGTCTGCAATGATTCTGACATAAAATATTAAGTGAAAAATGGCAGGATACAGCATAGATGTGTAATTATAGACAGAGCTAGGAAGAGTTGGCCATTTTAAACATATTTAATGTAGTACCTCTAATCTAGGATACCATTAGTTACAATATGCATTTTATAGTTCGCGAAAAATGCCATGTTTTGTTACAGAGAACTACAGTCATCAAATGAGTTCTTCTAAATTAATTTATGCACATATTTTATCGTGTATCACAGAGATCTTTCTGTGCACACAACGGCTTTGTCTCCTAAAGGCAGCTCAGAATGAAATAATTTGGGGATCAATTATTTCATGCAGCATGCACTGAAATGACAATAATTTAAACCACTGTGACCAAGATCACAGATACAGAGGGAGAGAATCTGCCAAGACAGAGTGAAGGCCAGGATGGAGCTTCTGAAATAAAAGAGGGAGAAAATCGTACCTTAGAACTGAGGGCACAGTAACATTTTAATACAAAAACTATACTCTTTTTTTTTTTTTTAGTAAGGCTGTGACTTATTTTCTTAATCCTACTTGGCATTTTCTTATGTTTTAATTAGTATACTTTTAACAATTTGAAAGAGTTCTCTAAGTGAATGCTTACTTGGGTCAATTAGACATCTTGTCCCTCAGACAAGTGTATTGGTTCTTCTCCTGCTCTGTCCTGGCCAGAGCTATGTTCATGGTAGCTACGGCAGGAGAATGGCAAGAACCAGATTCTGTGATTGCATAACATAATTCAGCTTGGAATTTGTCTGTTTGGGGATGAAGAGGGAGAAGATGAGATCAGTGCAGGAAAGAAGTCATGTGGTCAGCAGCAAGGAGGCTGGGGAGGTTTTCAGTTTGGTCTTGGGCTTATTTTTTTTTAAAAAAAAGATTATTTAATTATAGCAGGACCTAGGGGATATTTAATAACCTGCACATCACAATCTGGAGAGTAAACTACAGACCCTAGAGTAACTCAGTAGTCAGAAATCCATTCGTTTTATTACTGTGTCATCTTCCAGGGAATACTGTGGTCTATGTAGTGTGTGCGGAAGGGAGAGAGAAACGAGAGAAGGTAGGAGGGTGTACTAGCTGAGCAGTGAGGTGTAGGTGGTAGATGAATATATCAATATTTTTATTAATTGAGGTTTCTGATTAAATTTTTCTGGCTCCTTAGTATTCTGCTCCAAACCACAATTTCATCCACACACACACACACCCATATCCTCTGCCCACACCCATCTCCGAGGAAGGAGGCAGAGAGGGTGTCATTTTGTGAGCAAGGAGACGATTGGTTTAGATTGTATAGCTACCATTCTCAGAAATAAGCCAGAAGCATATGGAAAACGTCTGTTCCCTGCCTGCCACTTCCACACACACCTTACACTTGCTCTCTAAATTCCTATTTCATGTTCAAAGCTAAAACCACTATCAGCAAGGCATACCTCCAAAATTTAAAAATAAAATAAAAGGCAAGTCTCCAAGGCACACTTGCTATTATCAGAAAATTACCATGAAACAAAGTGCCCGAAAATTCCTCCTAAAAGTAAACCAAATGAGTTGGAAATCGTGTAGCTTTTCAACAAGTACTGAGTGAAAGATAGTTAGAACTCTAGATTTTGGAAAGAGAAGCTAGGCCATTTTAAAAAGCAATACAAAAACATAATTTAGATGGCAATGCTGTGTGTGTTCTGAAAAAGCCTCCACTGCACAGTAAGTAAAACATTCTCCCTGTCTGCAATCACAGGTTTGAAATTAGGAAAAGGCCACTTGGACCTAAGTGCTCAGGGACTTACATAAAGAGGCACTTCGCTGCAGCTCAACTCCATGGCTCCTGCATCTGTAATGGAAACAAGACAAGCGTTATGGCGGGAAGCCTGTCACCAGCCCTCAGAGTCCTCTGGGGCCCACGCTTCAGTGTCAACATTACGGAGGAAGGAGTTCAATAATTAAGAAAGCTACAGAGATTATATGTGCACATGTGTGTGTGCGTGTGTGTGTGCGCACACACACACACACACACACGTCTGATGACCAGGGTTGTAGATCAGGGGTGGAGCACATACCTCGCCTATACCAAGGCCTGGAGTCTATTCCGAACCACCCCTTTAATAAGGAATATAGAAAAGAGTCATTCTGTTATACAAAATTATTCTCCCCAAGAAAACAGAAAGGCAGCCCTTCAAAAACTCAAACATATGCTCAGTAATTTGATATCTAAGAGTATACACAAAAGAATTGAAAGTGGATTCAAAGGAGTCAGCAATTCTATTCACAAGAGTCAAAGTGGGGAAGCAACCTGAACACCCAGTAGCCTGTCCACAGACAATCAAAATGCAGAAGACATGATGCAATAGAATCATCTTCTTCCACATGCTGCAACATGAAGGAGACTGAAGGATTGTGTGCGAAGACAAACAAGCCAATTGCAAAAGAAAAAATACCGTTGTCATTCCACTTATATGACGTGTCTAACTGAGTAAATTCATAGAGACAGAAAGCAAAAGACAAGTTACCAAGGCCTGGAATTGCTGTTCAGTAGATGCACGACTTTTATAAAAACACAGTCCTGAAGATGGATGACCGTGATATTACACAGTGCAAATGTGCTTAATGCAGTTGAATCACATGTTCCAAATGGAACAAATGATAGATCTTATATATCTCTCACCATAACACAAAGACATAAGTTACATACAGTATGTACCTGAGGCAAAATAAGAAGTAACTGCAAAAAATATTCCAATTATGTGTGTGTAATGACATATATATGATGTATATGCATTCATACCTACATACACATATAGTCTCACCTTTATTACTTCAGATTAGTTTCTACACATACGTAAATCCCATCACTTCAAATACTCCACTGACTATCCCAGAATTGGGAGTATTTCCAAAAGCCAGAGGCACAACACACGCGTTAGGAAAACTTCGTCATAACTCACCCTTGTCTCACAGGCTGCTATAAGGTCTCAATCTACTTTTGCCTGGATAACACAGAGAGCATAAGACCATTCTTGACTCTCTGACACAGAGGCTAAAGATTCTGCCCACCAGATTGCAATGGGGTGCAGCCCACCAGCAAGCTAACCAACTTTTCTACCAGTTGCCCGAAGCTCCATCTGCCGGTGCCTATCTCTTTAAAAACAGTGCACAGGAGTGTCTATGAGCAGACAGGTGGACAAATGAACTGTGGTGTGTCCATACAATGGAATGTCATTCCATCTGAAAAAGGAAGGACACATGCCACAGCCTGGATGACTCCCAGCAGCTCATCCCCAGCGAGATGAGCCAAACAGAAAGAGCAATGCCCCATGGTTCCAGTAATACAGGATGGCAAGAGCCAAAGGTGGTTTCCATGAGCAAGGAGGGGAGATTGTTTTGCTTAATGGACTTAATAGATGCCGAGTTTCAGGTTTTACACAGTGAACGTTGTCCTGCAAAGGATAATGGTAATGGAGAATAATAGTGTGCTTAATACTCCCAAGCTGAGCACACACACATGCTCACGCACACACAAAATAAAAACAGTCTCAAAATAGCACCTAGATGCTGGCTTTCTGATTAATCAAAGACCCACTATTATTCACTGACCATTTTCTGTGGTCCACCAAAGGGGAGGGAAGGTGGCGCAGCCCCAGACGCTTTAGCTGAACAAAGACAATTAAAAGCTGGGCAAAGTACAAAATGGATCACACGGAAATTCTGAAGAGGACAGACAAGGAGCATCATCACCGTCTCCCTCACCCCGAAGCTGCACCACTGCCCACTGCCAACTCTAGGTTCTGTTCACTGGCTCTGGGCTTTGGACCACAGCTCCACTCTACAGCTCTGGGGAGCTCCAGGAAGGGGGGCACATTGCAATCTGAATGGTGGCATTTAGTATACTAATTCCCAGAGGGTACACTTGCCAAGGAAGAATATGAAAAGCTCTATTTTATTTATTTTGTCTAAAGGCACCCAAATTAAACATCCTAATTCTTCATACACATTCTAACATAGAAATCTCTCAGGTTCCAAGACACATGAGTCATAGTGAGAGACAGCCATCGTGATGGGGGGCAAGCCAAGGATGGACTACAGGATGTTTCTTAGCCCTGTTCTCAACCCAGCATGCCCTGTGCAGCCGAGTGGGCTCCTGGATGATAATCTACTTCTGGCAAAACTAACTTCCCAAGCTAGACCAGTAGCTTCCAGAGTCTGGGAAAGACATCCCATAAAAGATAATACTAACAAGAAAATAACAGAATAGGCTCAGTATGAATTCCTAATAGAAACTGTTCATCAGTTCCTAGCAGAAAATCAAAATAATGTGCAACTCAAGGGCCCTGACAAAAGGAGGACCCCGACAAAAGGAGGACCCCAAACTCCAAATTATCTTTTTGTTGTTGTTGTTGGTTTTCTGAGACAGGGTTTCTCTGGGTAGCCCAGGCTGTTGTTCTGTGGACCAGGCAGGCTTTGAACTCAGAGATCCACCTACCTCTCCCTTCCAAGTGCTGGGATTAAAGGCCAGTGCCATCACAGCCTGGCCAAACAGCAAATCATCAAGACAGGCTTTGAAAGCTGGATTCATGGGCATTAGGACTGACCCTGACTTGCACTATGTCTTCTGTGCATCAGGACAGCAGCGGCTCTTGACCTTGCAGAGCTCACAGGTAAGCCATATGAAGGTGAGGGTAAAACTTGATTTCTACTTAACACCAAAAGAAATGCATTATCATGGTACCTGAGTGATTTAAATAGCATAAACAATAAAAAAAAACTAAAATGTGTTTGTTTCATGAGTAAAACTGTTTCCGGCACATTTATCAAAATAAATTAAATGGGATGGAAGTTTTACTACACTCTTAGGTGAAACATAGGTATTTTCCCCTTATACAAAGAACTACAGGCAACTAAGGAATGCCGACAGCAGGAGAAACAGGCTTCCTCAGGAAGGAGCACCCCAGCTGCTTGTGTAATATCAAATAGTCAGTCCTGAACACATACATATAAGTAGCATTATACAAGCCAGGTGTGTGCCCCAGACCTTTAATCTCAGCACTTAGGCAGATCTCTGAGTTCCAGGCTAACCTGGACTACACAGTGAGTTCTAGGACAGCCAGGACTACATAGATGGACACTGTCTTAAAAAAAAAAAAGTAACAGTATACAGGCTGAGCAGATTGCATTTATGTATATGGGAAAATATATGTATATAACAAAATTTAGTGGAAAAAGGGCATTAATTTGAAAGAGAGAAAAGAGGACTATATGAGACAGTTTTGGAGAGAGGAAGGGAGAAATGATATAATTAAAATATCAAAAATTGAAAGAAATACATTTAAAAAAATAGGTGTTTTCCAAAACCCAGATTTATCTTCTAGATTTTATAAAAAAAAAAAAAAACAGGGACCAAACTTAAGACTCTGGGCATTCTAAGCAAGCACACTGACACAGAATTATATTCCTGTCTTGGTTTGTGAGACAGAGTCTTAGTTATGAGCCCACGCCGGCCTTGAACTCATCCTCTTGACTCCGCCTCCTAAGTGCTTTCATTACAGGCATACATCACAGCACATGGGTGGATTTTGTCTGTTTATAAAATACACCAAAAAGGAAGTAGTCCAAGGGGTATGTGAAGAGACAGGAATGGACGTAATTATGATCAATATTCAAAATACATTGTACATATTCATGAATATGTCAAAAATATTGCATGTGAACACAGGGGGTGGGTAGGCGGGTGTGCACACACGCACGTGCAATCATTATGGCCAGCAGAGTATTAATCCGCTATCCTATTCGACATGACTCAGTAGTCAGTGTTGGTTCAAACTTTGAGTGTCTGAACCCGAATAGTTTATTTAGGCAAATTTAGGTGCAGCACAATTTGGTAAGAAAATTTTCCTGGTGATAATTCACTCAATTCTGTGTGCACAATAAAGTTTAAGACATGACTACACTGAAACTCTCTGCAAAGAACATGTGGCATCTTCCATAAAGATGGGTTCTACAGACAGACGAAGAAAACCAAGCTCATGGTAACAGTCTTGGGGAGGACGGTCACCAGGTTATAACCACATCTATTCCTGGCCTTCTGGGCAGAAAACATCTTTCTCCCTTTCAAGAGACAACTCAACCCTGCATGTTTAACATTCCAGGTTCCCCTAGCGCGTATCTGGGAGTGCAAGGACCTCTGTGCCTCTCATGGAATTCCTTTTAAAATATGTTTTAAAATATATGTATACCAAAAGAACCATAGAACTGTTTTTGGTGACAATGTGAAGATATATTCTGAAAAGCAAATTGCTTCTTTAACAACAAAAACTGTTAATAATAAAACCAGCCATGAATAAGACAGCAGCTCTGACAAAGGTGTTTGTTTGGGTCTGGGGATGTAGGAAGACATGCACATGTATGTGCAGATGCACAGAGGCCAGAGGGAGACTTCCAGTGTCACCCTCCATCACTCTCGACCTCATCCCTTTCAGACAGTCCCTTACTGAACTGGAAGCTTGCCTCTAGGCTGGCCAGAGAACTCCCAGGATCTGCCCAGGATTGCAGGCACAGGTGGCCATGCCTAACTCTTTATGTGAGCGTTAAGTAGTCAAATTCGGGTCCTAATGCTTACATAGCAACTGCTCTTAGCCAATGAGCCATCCTCACGGTCATACGAGCCATCCTCATAACCAAATGAGCCACCTTCACAGCCCCTGCTGAGTCTAAAATGTGCTGCACCTGAAATCCATTCCCTTTGTCTTTTGAGCGAGATGCTATAATGAAGAACTTGAAGCCAAAGGCGTGTAGACCTGCAGCCAGTCAGAACGGCTCATTTAACAGAAGTGTTTCAAT